TATTTGCCAATGTTTGAATAACAACGCAAGATTGTACCTCATATTTGTATCATCTAGAAGTAAAAATATGTAACTGTACAAAAAAATCATAAGCAATATACTCCATACATTGTTCCAAGTAACAGCAATCTATATCATTAATTCTAAAAGTAGCAAATTAGCAAATGCTGAAGACTAGAGCGGGGTAGGAGGAGAGTCGGTATGCAAATTACAAATATCCCACATCGGCATTGACAATAAAGGAATAACTTCTTTAAATGTTGAACTCCACTTGGTTTGTTTGCCGGGCTTGGTAACGTAGGCTTGTCACCCAAGTGGGGGCAATAAGGTGATGTGAAGAGTGTAGGACTTCGGGGTGTCTGGCTTCACCCGGGACGAAAGCAACCATCACGTAACGTGATGCAGCGTGGTCTTGAAGTACCTCGCGAAGTTCCCTCCCGCACCCAAAGAGATGGGAGATGCCTCCACCCTCCGAGAAGGGGAAGGAGATGAGATTGCTGGCTTCTCAGAGCAGCAATGTTGCAAGTTCCTTCAAGGTCTGTCCAGTTCTCAGAGCTCTCCTCACTTCTACCATCACCTTTTTATTTTTTTTCTACCATCCATAGATAGAAAATTTGAGAAAAGAGAGACTCCCACTGTTTCCAACTTCCAAGTGAAACCAATATTTATCATCAATTCAATAATACTCTCCCGTGTCTAAATTACTTGTTTCAATGTTGATTGATATAGCAATTTGATTTTATCGATTAATGGTTTCATTTAATTTAATAAATAAAAATATTTGTAATAATAATAATAATAATAAACTTAGTTAATGGCTTTATTTAATCTAATAAATAAAATATTTGCATTAATAATTATAATTATTATTAACTCTCAAATTAAATGTGACTACCAATCATTGAGTTCAAATTGTTATATCGAATAACTTCTTTATTTTGGGAAGGAAAGCACAAACGACCAACTTAGTGTTTGAGATATTTTCATTAGGGAAGAATGGTATTTCTGGGAATACATGTTAATTTTTGGATTTTTCATGTGTTTTGCTAATTAGGCTTTATTTAGTGTAATTGTAGTTTTTAATTTTTAGTTTTGGTTGCCAAAATTCAAAATAATTAAAATTAATAATTGAAAACAAAAAATAAAAATATCAACTTATTAAGTATAAAATTTTAAAACTAACACCCAAAACTAAAAGTTTAGGTTTCATGTAGTATGGTTTTGATTTTTACTTTTGGGTTTTTATTTTTTTATATATTTAGTAACTAATGCTTATTTTTAGAAACTAAAATTTATAATAAAATTAGAATTTATTAAATTTAATCTAAATATAATATTAATTACTATATACATATGAAAATCAAAAACCAAAAACTAAAAATTAAAATCATAGTAAATGAAACTCTATTTAGTATAATTGTGGTTTTAATTTTTTAATTTTGGTTTTAATACATTTGTAAACTTATGAAAACCAAACTAGAAATAAAAAACTTCTAATTTGTATAAAACAAATTTTAATATTGATAATAAAAAATATAAACTTATTAAATAGTATTAAAACTATTTTTATTCTTTTTTTAATAACTATGATAATATGTTACAAAAATAAATGAAAATAAATGAAATTTTTTATTTAGATATATAAATTTTATGAAAATAAAAACTAAAAACTCAAAATCCTAATTATATTAAATGGAGTTTTAATTAATTTATAAAATTTGTTAATTTTATTTTAAATTTTCTAAATTTTTAAAAAGTACAATTAAAACCACAATTATACGGAGCCTTTACTTGTTATCTTTAAAAAAAATTTCCTTCTAGAAGTGTTTTTGTAGTCTTAATTAACAAAATAAAATGCCAATCTAGAGCTAAAATTTCTAAAATGTCTACATCACAATAATTAGTCAATTCATTTTCCTCCTATTATTAAAAAGTCTATTCTTTTTCCTCTTTGCCAAACCTCCCTACTGACTTGGACATGTGTATAAAAAAGTGTGTATGATATTCTTCGCCTCATCAATATTCTTAGCGTTCCAACAAACAACTTGAGCAGATTATACATCTAACAATAAGCAACAAAATAGTTTAGCAAGCAGCATCTTGCTCCAGCAATAACAACATGGGACGAGGAGGATACCGTGCCCAATAATATGGACAAGTTCCACAAATTATAGATAGGGATGATAATTCTCATGATCTTTGTCGAGATTTCTACCGCAGGAGTGGAGAGTATTTTCTCTTTGTAAAAATTCATGGGAAATTTTTCCTACTCTATAGGTCTAATAAGATCCTCAGTCCCTATAAAATATTTAACAAATAAAGAAAAAACATTAAATCGAAGATAATTTAAATATTTAACTCATAATTATATGCATATCCAATATTTATTTTTACTTTTAATTAAATACTAAAAACTCCAATTATTTTAAACCAAACCAAATCTAACATTTTTTTCTACTTTAACCCAACTATCTAAAATATTTTGTTTTAAAACAATAAAATAAAATAGTTAAATTAATTTTGTAATATAAATTGGCAGTAGAAAATCTTGCATAGACCCATTCCTCGTAGTTAACAAGGGTGGGAACAAATTCTACTTTGGAAAAATCCCCTCAGGGATCCCCATTCTTGTGATTTATGGGAATAGAGATGGGCAAGGCACTATCTGACCCTGTGAGGCCTTGTTGCCATCTTTAATTACACAGGCTATCCAATTTGCACTTTTGTTAGCTTTCCTGAAAATAAGAAAAATAGAAAAATAAGGGCCAAAAGGCAAATACTTTTTGATATTCAACACAATAGCTTGTAATTTTGCAAAGATAAGCAAGTACATCCCTCACCCTTCACTAAATCTACAACAACTTTACAATCTAACTTAATAATCACACAACTATAAGTAGAAATGCATAGCAATTGTGCAAAAGAACTATGAGTTAAGTAACATACTCCATAGTTTCAAGTAACAACTATCTCTATCACCAATTCAACTAGTAGTAAATTATCAAATGGTGAAGGGTGGGTAGGGTTAGAGGGAGAGTCAAAGTACCAATATCCCACATTGGTTTGACAATAAGAAATGAGTACTTTAAATAATGAACTCTAAATTAAGCTGTTTATGAGGCCTTGCAATGCATGCATATGTCCTTAGTGGGGCCTATAAGGTGATGTGATGAGAGTTATGGGCTCTCAAATGCCACCCCTAAACATGTACGCCACAATATTCCATTGCTTGTAGATACCTCTTCCTTCCACAAGAGGTAAGAGAAGAGATTGCTGGCTTATTAGAGTGGCACTGTCATATCTATAAAGTGGTATCCAGGCACCCCAAAGCTCACCTCACACTACCATTGCCTTTTTGTTCATTTGTAGGTTAGGATATTGAATAATTTTCAAAGGAAATTTTTTTGTTCATTTGTACATTAGGAAATCAAATAATTTTCAAAAGAAATTTCTTGGCATTCATAGTCACAAAACTAAGGCCTAAAATATTCAACAATTGAGGGACATGTTCCTTATACTGGAAAATAAATCCAAGTAGCTTCTCTGGGGATATTGACATAGAATACAAGGAGATTTCCTCCTTTTCCTATCTAAAATGGTTACAAGAACAAAAATCCCTGCTTGGTAAGTGATGTAATATATCTAAAGTGTAAAGAGGCTTCTACTGAAGTTACCTTTGGAGCCCTTAGTGCTAACACATTCCTTTTTTTTGAATTGCTCCAAAGCTTTTTAGCCAAGTCTTCTCTCCTCATGTAAGGACAGGTCCGAGGTGCCAAGCTTCGGACTGCTACAGTAATCCCTTTATAACCGAAGTAAAGGATAAATCCAAAGCTTCCCACTCGAATAGTTGCATGACAATGACAATAAGCATGCCCGCATCTGATTCCTTATGATGAGCTGCACAGCAGGTATGGTAGACGTCCGTGCACCTGAATACCTCTCAAATTCCCGGTCCCAGAATAATCGTCTAAAGATACACACCAGATCCCGAATATCTTGCTTGGCATGCCACGTGGGTTCCTCATTGGATCCTATAAATACCCTTTACGGGCCACGTCAAAAGGTAATTGAAACCAACCCTAAGCTCTTTTTATCTCCACTCTAAAGGTAGCCCCGATTATTGCTGACTTAAGCATCAGAGTGTCTACCCCGAGTTCCACCTCGAGGCTTTGCAGGTCGTTCCAGAGTACAGATGTGGACTGAAGAAGGACTTCTGGTTTGGTGCAATTACATTTGGCGCCGTTTGTGGGAATTCGAACTGAAAGCTTTCTTGTTGCTCTTTCGTCATGGTTCACACTCGATCAGTCCGAGCTGGCAATTCATCTCTGCCTCTTGGGCAAAGTCAACCCCCCAACAACCTTCCACCTCTGATCCCACCTCAACTCCCACCTCAGCCTCCTCCTCAGGTCCCAGCTATGTTCCCTCCTGTTGATCATGCAGAAGGAGGAGATGAAAATCAACCACACAATTCGGCTCACAACTCAGCCTCTACTGCTAACCAAGACGTAGTTGCAGCTCAGCTCGCTGCCATGCAACAACAGTTTGGTGTCTTTCAGCTAGTGCTGGCTCAGCTATTAGCCCGGAATAATGCTGGTGATCCACTCATTAACCTACTTAATCCCACTCCACAACCCCCAACTCCGCAACAAAATCCTGAGCCAGTTCAACATGCTCCTGCTGTTAGCGAATCTCAGGGCCAATCTCACATCGCACCAGTTCAGCAACCCCTTCATGATGATGTCACTCGACGTCTGGATAGCGTAGAAAAGCTAGTGGCTGAATAGCGAGGTGCCCCACCTCCACACCATTCTGCTGACTCCATACCCCACCCTCTGAACACCAACATTACATTAGAACCCTACCCCGCTGGCTTCAGGATACCACAACTTGAAACTTATGATGGGACGAAGGACCCCGATGATCATCTACATGCTTTCTATTCTTGTATGCAAGCCCAAAACGCCTCTGATGCGTTGATGTGCAAAATCTTTCCCTCTACTCTCTGAGGCAATGCTCAAACCTGATACTACAATCTACCTCCGAGGTCAATCAGTTCTTATATAGAAATGGCATCTACTTTTGCCACAAAGTTTTCCAGTCGAAGGTTGATCAGGAAAACCACCTCTAAGCTGATGCGAGTTAGGCAGTGGGACGGAGAGTCTTTGAAGAATTTTATGAGCAGATTCAATGATGCAGTACTGGAGGTTAGCTCTTTCGACCAGGCTGTGGGAATTACAGCTGTGATCTCAGGACTTAGCCATGAGAGATTTAGAGATAGTTTGCTCAAACATCTTGCCACCACCTTCAGCGAGGTAAATGATAGATCATTGAAATTCATAAGTGCTGAAGAATATGCCTTGTCGTAGAAACCAGCCCCTTCTAAGAACCAACACCCCGAATGGAGAGACGACAATCCGAGCAGGAAAAGGATGAGGATGGTACAGAACCGAGGTCCGATGCCGACCTCTACACCGAGATTGGGATGGCCGAACTCTACTCCCCCGCAACAATATGCAGATAAACCTCCAGTTAATTGGACTCCTTTTAATTTGCCGAGATCACAGATTTTTATGTAGATCAAGAATAAGATGGATTTAAGGCATCCTGGTCCAATGAAGACCATTGCTGTTAGTCGAGATCATACCAGATATTGTGACTATCATTAAGATCACGGCCATACTACAGAGTAATGTAACAGCTTAAAGTTCGAACTGGAAAGTCTAGCTCAAAAGGGAATGCTGAATGAGTACGTTCAGAGAGTTGAACAGCCGAGGTTTGTTCGAGAACAAAGGCCACAGCCTCAAGAAGTCCGCAATCCCCCAAATAGGCAAAGCGTGGGATATCAGCAAGCCCCACCTCCACTCCCACCACCAGTTAGAATCCTACACATGATTACGGGAGGCCTAGAAGCTGGTGGACTGAGCTCTAAACAGCGAAAGCAGTATGTCAGAGAGGTCAAGCATCAAAACCGGGCTCAGAAACGGAAGTTTGACGACGCTGACTGGAAGAGTCAACTCGTTACTTTCACATCTGTTGATTTCGACACAGTTGTTACACCCCACAATGATCCTTTGGTCACATCTGTCATGATTAACAACTGTGAAGTACAGCGTGTCCTTGTTGATACTGGGAGTGCACCAGATATCATGTACTTCCACTGTTTCGAGAGTCTTGGACTGGATCCAGCATTGTTGCAGAAATATGATGGTCCCATCCATGGTTTCAATAACCAGTCAGTTCTAGTTGAAGGTGTTCTAACCATGAATGTTGCATTTGGGAGTGGCCGAACCTACGTGACTCCTTCCGTCTGGTTTCTAGTAGTCAAGATGGCGTCCTCCTTCAACGTTGTTATTGGCCGACCCATGCTGACTGAAATCCGAGCCGTGGTTTCCCAGTCTCACCTCTGCATGAAGTTCCCCACTCCCATGGGCATAGCAACACTGCGAGGTAACCAGGAGGTGGCTAGACATTGCTATATCACCTCAGTAACACAACCTAAGAAGTGCAAAGATCAGATACCTGAACTCGTTCCCCAACAAATTTTTGACAATCAGCAAGTCATGGGTGTTGAGATCGTAGATAACTAACCGGAAGATGAAACCAGAGCTGCCCCAGTTGAGGATGTTGAAGAAGTGCACATTGATGACAGAGATCCGAGCCGAAAAACGCAAATTGGAACTAAGTTGAACCTGGAGGAAAAAGCAGAGCTAATAGCTTTCCCTCGGGCCAACAAAGATGTTTTTGCATGGACTTCAGTAGATATGCCAGGAATTCCCACTTCGGTTTCTCAACATAAACTTAGCACCAATCCACTCAAGAAACTAGTAGCCCAAAAGTGGCACCTCTTTGGGGGGAGAGGTTACAGGTCATTAAAGAAAAAGTTGAGAAACTCCTACAAGCTTGCTTTGTCAGGAGGGTCGATTACTGTGAATGGATCGCCAATCCTGTGCTGGTAAAAAAAGCAAACAGTAAATGGCGGATGTGCATTGATTACACTAACCTCAACGACGCATGTCCAAAAGACTGTTACCCAATGCCAAACATTGACAAGCTGGTTGAGGCAGCTTCTGGAAATGAGAGATTAAGTCTCTTGGATGCATACTCTGGCTACCACCAGGTTCCAATGGCTCCTGAGGATGCAGATAAAACCTCGTTCTATGCTGGCGATGAAATATATTGCTATGTAATGATGCCCTTCGGCTTGAAGAACGCAGGTGCCACTTACCAGAAGATGGTTACCATCGTATTCCGAGCTCAAATAGGCCGGAATCTGGAGGTATATGTTGATGATATAGTGGTGAAAAGTTTGAAAGCTGGAGATCACTTAATCGACCTCAAGGAGACGTTCAACAACCTCAGAAAGAATAGGATGAGGTTAAATCGAGCAAATTGTATTTTCGGGGTAGAGTCGGGAAAATTTCTAGGCTTCATAGTGTCCAGAAGGGGGATTGAGGTCAACCCTGAGAAGATCAAAGTAGTAGCCGAGATGGAACCACCAAATTCAATGAAAGATGTGCAAAGGTTGATGGGGAGAGTAGCAGCTCTTCGTAGATTCATTTCGAAATCAGTAGATAAATGCTTGCCGTTCTTCAAGATCATGAGATTGGCAGCTCAGAAGGATGAATTTGTCAAACAAAAGAAGTTTGCATGGAATTCAGAATGTCAAGCTGCATTTGACGAGCTGAAGTCTTATCTTAGCTCACCTCCCTTGCTGACAAAGGCTGATGATGGAGAAATCCTTTACTTGTACCTCGGGATATCAGATGAGGCCATCAGTTCTGTGTTAGTAAGGGAAGAGGGAAAGCAACAGAAACCAGTTTACTACATCAGTAGCGTGTTACATGGAGCTGAAGTCAGATATTCCATTGCTGAGAAAGTAGCCTTAGCAGTTGTCACTTCGGCCAGGAAACTGAGACCGTATTTCCAGTCACATCCAATCATTGTCCTTACAGATCAACCTCTTCGACAGATTCCGCAAAAGCCAGAGTGCTCTGGAAGATTGATTAAGTGGGCAGTAGAACTGGGGGAATTTGAAATAACATTTCAACAGAGATCTGCAATCCGAGCTCAAGCATTGGCAGATTTTATTGTAGAGTGCACTCCGGGTCATTCAACCCCCAATCCAGAACCAAACGACTGGACCTTATATGTTGATGGGGCATCTAGTAGTAAGGGTTCAGGAGCTGGTTGTCACGGAGCGCGAGTTCGAGGGCCCAAGTCAAGGCCATCGTGGCACGCGGCAACAGCCA